CCCATTCCCATCACATGGCCTGCTCTCATTTCCAGCCTGGCCCCGCTCTTCAGTCTAGGTGGATCTTGGGAGCAGCGACTGCCATCCCAGGATACAAGTCTCCTTCTCTCTTGGAGGTTCCACCAGCATCAGGCCTGGCCACCAGCCAAGTAGCAGCCCTGCCGCATATGGTCCTCCTACCCCGTGCACTTCGTGTCCTTGGGTAATCTCTAATTTCAAAGAAAAGATAGTGAAACTTAGTCCCTTCTTCATCTTCTACCTCCAGCATTGGAAAGCATGAAACAAACCTCTGGAAAACTTTGCGAGGGTGTCTACAAAGGATTAGCAGCCAGGGGAAAACATGAATGTGGCGCTTAGGCTGGGTCTGGCTAGTGCCATCCTATGGGCTGAGGTCTGACTAGTGTTATTCTATGGGCTGATGTCTGGCTAGCGCCATCCTATGGGCTGAGGTCAAGTGAGCTGATTACCAGCATTCGTCTCTTTCTGCATCCTGATTATGGATACTGTGTGGCCAGGCACCTCACACTCCTGTTGCCGTGCCTTCTCCACCATGACAGACTGTACCCTCAAACTGTGAAGCAAAATAAACTCTCTCTTGTTTTTTATTTTACATAATATTTGTATTGATTATTCGGGAGCTTCACATAAAGCTCTCTGTCACTGCCACCTCCCAGTCCTCCCAGGTCTGCCCCTCCACCCTTGTGACCTCCCACACATGGGGGAGGAGGGAGGGAGGAGGGAGAGAGGAAGAAGAAAAGGAAGAAGAAGGGGAAGAAGAAGAAGAAGAAGAAGAAGAAGAAGAAGAAGAAGAAGAAGAGGAGGAGGAGGAGGAGGAGGAGGAGGAGGAGGAGGAGGAGGAGGAGGAGGAGGAGGAGGAGGAGGAGGAAGAGGAGGAAGAGGAAAAAGAAGAGGAAAAAGAAGAGGAGGAAGTGGTGGAGGAGGAGGAGGAGGGGGAGGAGGGGGAAAAGTTCAGTTTGATTACCCATATACTCACTGGAGCATGGTCAAACTCCCAGTGGCCAGCCCTTAAAGTAAACTAAAGTCCTTCCCCAGCCACACCCCCACCAGAAGCCATTAGTTGAGGAGAGTGACACTTAGCATCCTTATCACAATTTTTAAGAGTTCTCTTCGATGACTTTCTGTATTGGCTGCGACTTCTTGGGGGGAATGGTGTAGGGGTTTTCACAGAAGCCTTCTAAGCCCCCCTTTCTTAACTGAGTCTGCAGTCATCAACGCCACTGTGAAGGTAGCTTCCTTGCCCTTTATAGACAGTAGGAGCAAAGATCATGAACTTCCATATGGCTTCTGGCAACAGCGTGGACCATGGACAACCACATGGTCTCCAGCGTCAGCACATGCCGTGAACCCTCAGCATGGTCTCCAGTGGCAGTACAGACCCTGGGCATCACCGCAGCCCTCTGCCAAAGCATGGACCACTAACACCATCATAGCTCTTGGTGGCAGCCCAGGCCAAGGACACCAACATGGCGTCTGGTGCAACACAGGCCACAACACCACTATGGTCTCCAGTGGTAGCCGGGCCCACAGACATCAACATGGTTTCAGGTGGCTTCACAGGCCATGGACATCTGAATGCCCTTTGGTGATAACGTGGGCCACGGACACCAACACGCTCCCCAGCTGCAGTAGGACCACAGACCCAGACATGGCCACAGGTGACTGCTCGGGCCACTCACATCAACGTGGTGCTTGACAGCAGCGTGGCCCATGGACATCAACATGGATTCAGGCGGCTGCACAAACCACAGACAACCAAATGGTCTTTGATGGTAACGTGGACCACTGACCGCAACACAACCCCTGGATTCTGCAGGACCACAAACATCCACATGAACCTCAGCTTGGGGCAGCAGGCCACAGATATCAACATGACCCCGAGAGGCAGCATGGACCATAGAAGTCTTTGAGGAGGTCCAGCCCAGAAAATGAACTGTTCTTCACCTCAGACATTCCATTGTTGCTCAGAACCAGGGCCGCTGTCAGGCTGGGCAGCATGTTCAGGGGTTCAGCCGACACAAGCTCCAGGCTGTTTCTCATCATCCTGTCAGCCCTGCTCAGCAAGGGCATCTCAGCCTTCTCTCACGCCTGTCACCGCCATGGTGTCAATAGTTTCCCTCTCTCTCCACTCAGCACTCCATTCCTTCATCCTTCCCACCTCTCCATCACATACTCATTTGTGGCAGTGGCACTGGAAACCGCAGTGTGTCACATAGTGTGTGTGTGTGTGTGTGTGTGTGTGTGTGTGTGTGCGTATATTGCCCAAACAATTTACAAGCAAGTATTTATTGCAATGGGTCATTGGTCTGGTTCAATGTTTTTGTTTTCTGAAGCACCATGAATACTGGACCATTCCTGAGACTCATCTTGGATATTCTGCTGTTGCCCAGAGTCAGGGTGCTATAGTAGCGAGGCAGGACATCAGGGACAGGTTCTGTGTGAACTCCTGGCTCCCACACACCTCCCCACCCTCAGTGACTGCCTCCCCAAGTCTCCCTGGCTCGATCTCTGTGCTTGAAGCCTGCAGGTGGGCAAGTATTATGGGTGGCAGCTGAAGCAGTTCCATGCTGGGGACCAACCAGCCGGTGAGCTAGAACCAGCCCACTTCAGTAATGGCATGTTTCCGAGGAAGTTCCAGGCTGCTGCACACCACCCTGTCCTCAGTGCCAGTTACCATGAGTCTCAACAGGCACAAATGTTGAGATTCTGGGCTGTGGTTAGCACCACTGCCCCGAGAGCTCCGGCTCCCAGCAAAGCTAACAGCACAGACTGCAGCCTCGGCAGCTCCATGCTGGGGGCCAGCTGGCCTAGGGCCTAGGGCTCACCCTATTCAATAATGACAGGTTTCCAGAGGAGCTCCAGGCCTCCATGCATCTCCCTGTTGTTGGTGCTGGCAGTTCCAAAGCTCATCGGGCACGACCTTTGTACTTGCAGCCAGCTGACTGAGTCGCAGGTGAAGGGCATAGATTCGTCATTCTCCATGTGTGCAAGTCTATTCAGTCTTTCCTTCCAATTTTGTGAGTCCACTTTTTAAAAGCATCCTTCCCATAGTATTTGCCCCTTTTTTTTCTTTTTAGTTGTTCCAGAGCTACTGCGGGCTCTGCGGACTCCTTTTCTGCCATTGTGTTGCTCTTCGGAGCCTCCATGGTTCTCTCAGACTCCTCGAAGCTCCAAAGTAGATGCCAATAGACGCCACCATCTTTTCAAAATCAAGCCTTCTTTCTTACGTGGTTCTTTGTCAAGTGTCTTATCACAGTGGAAAGAAAGCAGCTAAGATGGGGCAAAAAGTCAATCTGTGTGCATGCACAGGAGGTACACACACATACACACACACACACACACACACACAAATGATGAGTTCTCACTCTTCGGCTCAGACTTCCCTCATAATACTCCTCCTCCTGCCTCAGCTCCCCAAGTGCTGGGATTCCAGGCTGTGTCACCACACTTAGCTGGAGAGGAAGAATCAGAGTGAGCAGTGCTCCAATCTTGCTGTGAAGGGATATTGGGAGGTGAGGGGTGGGGGAGGAGAAGGGGGATGGTTAGAAGGCACACGAGCATCTTCCTGTGGGAGCAGGTCCCATACCAGGTAGCTGTTAAGATTGCCCAGGTTTCCAAATGCCTTTTATGGTACTCTGGATTTCCAAATTTAGGCAACAGAATTCCCAAGAAAGTACACGATACAACCAGGGCAAAAAGCAAGGTGTTTTACTTAGGCTCTAAGAACCATACCTTAAAAATAAAGTAGAGGACTTTCTTGTAACTTCTGAGTGTGTCCCCTAATGTCTTCTCTTAGTATCTACAAATGACTTTCTCAAGGAACAGGTTGGGGGGGGGGACATTTGGTGTGGGAGAATTGTCTGTATTCTGTCAGTCATGTTTTAAATAAACGCTGATTGGCCAGGCAGGAAGTAGAGGTGGGTCAATGAGACAAGAAGTAGAGGTGGGGCAATGAGAACAGGAGAATGCTGGGAAGGAGGAAGCCTATTCCTCCCTAGTCCTGCCCAGACCACCAAAGAAGCAGGATGTGACCTGCCCCACTGAAAAAGGTACTGAGCCATGTGACTAACATAGATAAGAATAATAAATTAATATAAGCCACAAGAGCTAATAAGAAGCCTGAGCTAATGGGCCAAACAGTTTATAACTTATGGAGACCTCTGTGTGCTTTTCTTTGGGGGCTTACTGGCTGTGGGAACTGGGCAGGACGTAAACCCCAATAAGCAGGCCATAATGCTACAGCTATTAACCCTCTGGGCAGGAGGCTACCCTCAGCAACAGGAAGGATCAAGGTGCCCAAGATACACAAGTGAGGCATATTACAGTCAACTGGAGCATGCACCCTTGTCAGAGCCCTAGTCCTAAGGTCCTTGCCACCCTCACACACACACCTGCTACAGAAAACCACACTTCTAGACCTGCCCTAGAGGTGGCAGCAAGTTTTTAATTGCCTAGAGCTTCGTAGAATAAATGTAACCAGTGGGCTGGGAGCATGGCTTACTTGGCTTAGTGCTTGCCACACAAGTACAAGGATCTGATTGATCCCCAGCACCCACATAGAAGAAGAAGAATAAACAGCTGTGGTGGCATATGACTATAATCCCAGCATTGGAAGTTGGGGACATGTTGGTCTCTGGAACCCACTGGCCAGCCAGTCTTATTTGGGAGATCAGTGGATATTCTGGCTGCCAACCCAGCTATAGGCTCACTGACAGACACTGCCTTAAGGAAATACAGCAGGGAGTGGTAGAACAGGATGCCCAATACCCTCCTCTGGATTCCACATGCCCACAAATGAGAGCATGCACCCATACACACGTACATACATCACTCATACATGCACACACACGCGTGCACAAGAGCACACACACACACACACACACACACACAAACACAAACACAGCTGTAATGATGCACTTAGATTCCCAAACTAGCTCACAATGATCTCCATGGCAGCTTACAAGCCAAAAGAATCCCAACACCTGCACCAGAATCAAGCTGCCCTTCCCATCAAAACAGTATGCAGTGGCTTCCCATCCTGCACCACAGCTGCTTCCCACCATGCATCACGACTACTGGGGTGTTAAAGCCTGGTCCATAGCAGTTGTGGGAGACCCAGGGCTCCTTGTCGCATGAGTGCCAGAGATTCAGAAGCTGGAATGTGAACCTCTGTGACAGGTAAAAGCAGGCTTAGAGACAACGTCATATGCATTCCTTAGAAGGGAATGTTTTCTGACTTGGTTGCATAGGATGGTGGTTTCCATCATCTGAGAAGATCTCATAAACGACACATTATATTTTTAGTGGAAATGTACCTCTACTAAATTAAAGTTCAGCAGTGACAAAGGGCAAAAGTCTACATTTTTAAGGATATTTCTCAACTAATTACGATGTTCACACACACTTAAAAATCCTCCTACAGCTCCTCATGGTCTGGGATGCCTGAGTCATCCTTGCAGTTCAGGCAAGCAGCAGACACCCATGGGGCAGCCTGGGGCCTCATGGTCCAGCCTGTCTGAAACACCCAAATGCCCCCAGGTACCACAAGGTCCTGGGTGGTTGGGAGTCAGTATGATAAGCAAGCCTATGGTGGTGAATTGGAGTGGAAGGCAGAATGGTTCATGTGCTGTGGAAATAGGCAGATCTGCAGAAGCGAGGGCCGTGACAAATGGGTTGGTTTTGGTGGCCTGCTTGCCACCTGGGACCAGAGTGTCATCCAGGCCTGAGCAGCTGACTACAGCCACATCTGTATCTGCAACAGCCAGGGTCTATGTTGACATCCGTGACCCATGTTGCCACCAAGGCCACAGGGATATCCGGGGTACAGGCCACCATTTGTGGCCATACTAATGTCTATGAATCATGCTTCTGTGGCCATGTTGATCTGGTGGCCTGTACTGCCACCCGGGGTACATGATGACATCAGGCCTGGGTTGCTGCCAGGGGCCATACCTGGGTCCATGCCCCTGCAGTAGCCAGGGTCTGTGTTGATGTCCAAGGCTTCGGTAACCACCGAAGACTGTGAAGATGACTGTGATCTGGTCAAACACCTGAGTCTATCTATGTTGGTCTCCAAGGGCCATGCTTTCATTGGAGCCATGCTAATCTGGGTGGCCTATGCTGCCTTCTGGGCCATGGTGACATCTGAGCCCTGCCTACAGTAAGGGGTCTTTTCTGGGTCCATGGTCCTACAATAGTCAGGATAGGCCTGAGTCAGTATCTGTGCTTCCTGATACCACTTAAGGCCATGCTCATGCCAGGGATCTGGGCTGCCACCTGGGGCTATGTAGGTGTCCAAGGGCCACTCTACTGTGGGGGCCATGCTGATCTGCCAGCTGAGGCCAGGGTGACATCAGAGGCCAGGCTACTGTGTGGGACCATGTCTGGGTCCATGGTCTTATCACAGTTGAGGTGTACAATGTCCTGAGACCTATGGTGCCACCAAAGGCTACACAGATGCCTAGGGTCTAGGTTGCATCCTGCGGCCATGTTGGTGTCTGAGGGCCTTGCTGCCACTGGGGCCTTGATGTCATCTGGGTCAAGGTTGATGCTGAGAGCCATTTCTGGGCCCCTGACCCCACAGCAGCCAAGGTCTGTGTTGATATCTGTGGTTCATCGAAGGCAATGCCCATGCCAGGAGTCTCGGCTACCACCTGGGGCCATGTTGGTGTCCCAAGGCCTTGCTACCATGGGGGCCGTGCTAATCCAAGTGGCCTGAGCAACTACAAAGGGACACAGGACCAGGTTGCTGTGATGGGCCATGTCTGGGTCCATGGCCCTACAGCAGCCAGGGTCTGATGTCTATGGCTCGTGCTACCACAAGGGGTCATAGAAACAATGTGTGTTGAAATCCAAAGATCATGCTGAGCCACACCTGTCCCTCACTGGCTTCAGGATAGCTGGCTCTGCCCCTTGCTGGTCACTGTAGCAGGAGAACTGGCATCCCTCCTCATGCCCCTACCCGGCCCATGGGAGAGCTGACCCCAGCACTCGGGAGAGCTAGCCCCGATGGCATGGGCCTAGGAGAGCTGACTCTGTTTCTCACCTGAGGCAGTGGCCCCAGTGACCCAAACTGAGCAGCCCAACCACCACCCAGACCCACACCCTGGGTTTTGGGTTGGCACACCCTAACAGCTGCCCCATCTATGACCTGCTGGGGTGCACAAAGGGCCTGGTCCTGACCAATGATAACCGCAGGATCTCCATGACTCAGGGCAGCAACAGGCTATCTGAGAGACATTTTGATGAAGGCCCAGTGGTGATGGTGTACCAGAAAACAGAGGCCTTGAACCAGACCAACCCATTGAAATGAACATTCTGTGGGTGGGGCTGATCAGACAAAAGGGGTATAGTGCATGACACACCGCAGCTCCCAGTATAGCTGGGATGAATGAAGAGGTGGTGGGAAGATGGAGGAGTGAAGTAGGACTTCCTTTGGAGGGTTGTTTTGTTTTTAATTAATTTAGGGAGGCAAACTGCAGGGGTGAGGGAGAGATATGGAGGTGAGCAGGACTGGGGTGCGTGGTGTGAAATTTCCAAAGAATCAATAAAGAACTATGCTTAGATTAAAAGAGAGAAGAGTTGGGCAGTGGTGGTACACACCTTTAATCCTAGCATGGGGGGGGGGAGCAACTGGCCAGAGACAGGGGATCTTTGTGAGTTTGAGGCCATCCTGGTCTACAAAGGGAGTTCCAGAATAAGCTCCAAAAACTACAGAGAAACCTTGTCTCAAAAAAAGAAAGAAAGAAAGAGTGAGAGAGAGAGAGAGAGAGAGAGAGAGAGAGAGAGAGAGAGAGAGAAAGAAAGAAAGAAAGAAAGAAAGAAAGAAAGAAAGAAAGAAAGAAAGAAAGAAAGAAAGAAAACAGAGAGAGAGAATCTTCCTGCAGTTGGTGATGTTACTCGGCTGGTCATGTTCTTGCCTAGCATATACAAAGCCTTGGATTTGATACCATCACCACATCAACTGGGTATGCTAGTCCATATTTATAATCCCAGCACTTAGGTGGCAGAGGCAGGAGGATCAAAAATTCAAGGTCATACTCAGCTACATAGAGAGCTTGAGGCCAGCCTGGGTGCTGGAACTGTTTGGGAAGAATTAGGAAATGTGGCCTTATTGATAGAGGTATGTCACTGGGGGTGGGCTTTGAGGTTTCAAAAGCCCACTCTGCTCCCAAGTGCTCCTTCTGCCTGTGTGTATGTGTGCATGTATGTGTGTATGTCTGCATCTGTGTCTATGTCTGTGTGTGTCTGTATATCTGTATGCGTGTGCATGCTCATGTGCATGCATGTGTCTGTTAGTCTGTGTTTGTGTGTGTGCATGTGTGTGTCTGTATATCTGTGTGAGTGTGCATGCATATGCATGAGTGTGTCTGTTAGTCTGTGTGTCTGTGTGTGTGTCTGTGTGTGTGCGCGCGCGTGTGCATGCGTGTGTCTATTAGTCTCTGTGTGTGTGCATGTGTGTGTCTATATGTCTGTGTGTTCATGTCTGTGTCTGTGTGTGTGCCCTACTTCCAGACAAGGATATGAGCACCACGCTACTGCACCAGCACCACGCCTGCTGCCATGCTCCCTGCCCTGACGTGAAATGAACTCACCATCTGGAACACTAGGCTCCATCTAACTCTTCATTCTCTACGTTGCCTTGGTCACAGCATCTTCTCACAGTAACAGAAAAGTGACTGAGACAGCCAGTCAGCTGCCTGCCTCCTAAAGCAGGTGAGACCCTGTCTCAAAAAATATCATATTTCTTATTTTAAGAATAAACAGATTGGAAATGTGCACATTAAGGAGGAGTGGGACCTTGTGAACCGAGCCTTCAACACGACTGCTCTGTATGTGGAGCGATCACATCTAATCACAACCAGTTCAAATTGTACGAAAGCACAAGAGAAAGCCATTGCTAAGCCTATCAGCACACTGCAAATTAATTCTTTTTAAAAACAATGAGGGAATTTTTAAATGATATTGACGCTAAAGCGTATACCTAATGAAAATTCCCAACAAAAAGAACAGCACATTAGAGACAAAAGATCATAGCAAATTGGGCGATAAAGTCGGCAATAAAATATCTAGGGGAAAATGGGTTTTTTATTGAGTAACTACATTAGCAGACACGGTCACCTGAGAGAGCCGTTGGCAGTGACCTCCTAGGGTATGCTCCGAAACATTAATCAGATTGGCTCACGTTAGAACACTCAGAAGACTCTAAATCAGTAGGAGTAAATTAAAGCAAAGGGTATAATCAACCAATAATGTCCGAGGAGATACTGGAGATCCCCGCGGGAGCCCACCGATTCAGTTGCAAGATTGCTCTGTGGCTCTGATTAAAGGATTAATAGCCCTCAAATTAATATCCCCGAAGATGAAGAAAAGGAGGACACTCAAAAATGAAAGGGCCATTCGTTGGCCAGATTGTGTGATTGGTAAGAAATAAATCCCTAGATTGGACATACACATTGGAGACATTCTTAGAAGCTATATAGAATGTGAATGTGAATTGTCTTAGTTAAAGGAATCCAGAGCAGAGCGAAACACCTGATTTATAGTCCATGTAAGTTATTTGTATTTATGTTCTTTATTTATGAGTTTCACAGAAATATATATATTTCTGTCTGAAAATACTATTATTCTATTATTCTAAGTTTATTTATTTATAATATTAGTCTATCAGTTTCTCTCTCTCTCTCTCTCTCTCTCTCTCTCTCTCTCTCTCTCTCTCTGAAACAGGGTTTCCTGTGTAGCTCTGGTTGTCCTAGAACTCTATCTGTAGATCAGGCTGGCCTCGAACTCATAGAAATCCACTTCCTCTGCCTCCTGAGTGCTTGGATTAAAGACGTGTACCACCACTACCATCCAGGTTTTCTCAAAGCCAAGCAAATGGATTAAAGTCCAAAATGAGCCAGTATACTCTAAAAATCAAATGTTTAAAGAAAGTTGTCATAACCATCTTATATTTTTTAATAATTCAGGTGGGTTGACAATTGATCATTTAAAAGTGTCTGAATTATATGTACACCAAAGAGAAAAGAAATATTGAAACCCCTTTCTTTAACCTAAAACATCTGCCACAAAGCAAGTATGACAATCTTGTTTGGTATGGAAATTTTTGTTTCTTTTTGGTTTTCCGAGACAGCTTCTAGCTACATACCCTGGACTGGCCTTGAACGCGTGTTCCTCCTGCCCCAGCTTCCTGAGAGCTTGAAGGAAAGAAAAGGACCAGTATGACCAGATCTTGCATGTGAAATTTAAGACATGAAGAAAGATGAACAATCTAGCCAAATGGAGACAAATTTGCCAAAAAAAAAAAAAAAAGTGAAAAAGGCATAGACATTTAAAACCTTCCTGGTCAGAATATTTAAAAGCCCTGAGTCCCCAAGGCCGCTTATAAGATGACAGTGTAATTACCATATTATCAATATAATGCCAGTAATTATCATGATTGTGTTATCTTCCATGTCCTGAGACACAGCCAGGGACTGGGCTGGGAGCAGCGGGACTTCAGTGTGGTCCTTATCTGGGTGTGGGTTTTGTCTTTGCAGCAGAATGGGTACTGGCTCATCTTCCCTGCCTCCTGAAGACAACCAGCAGTTGATAAGTTGACAAGGCCAGTACAGGACAGTGTGAGTTCTGACTCGGGGAGTTCATGCCCAGATCACAAACCTTACTGGCACCTGTTCTAGGTGATCCGGTGAATCCACCAGTCGCTGGCACAAGACAACTCAAACTGAGGATCACAGCTACCTATACTCGCGTGTGCTTTTCCTGTCTAAAATACACACCACGCAAGGGCGTACCAGAGGCCTAGAGCCAGCGAGGTTCAGAGAGTTTGAAGAGGTCCCACCAGTGGTACTAGCCAAGCTGTCGGTGGTGGCAATAGAGACTGAAGTCAGCAGCCTGGAAATGTCGTTAGTTAGAGCTGAGGAAACCATCTGCTGGAATCCACAGGGACCAAGCTGAGAGCAGGAACTGAAGCCCTGGGCAAGGAGCATAAGACGAGATGCACTCGTGCAGAGCACATTGGTGGGAAATGTGGGGTAGGAAGTGGAGCCTGCAAAGGCAACAGTCTCTGAGACAGGCTACAGAGGTGACAGCCTCTGAGACAGCCTGCAAAGACAGGCAGCAGCCTCTGAGACAGCCCGAGAAGTGTCTCTACAGTCAGGTGTGGACAGGACAGAGCCGGTGGGATTCTGTGCGAGACAAGACAGAGGGAAGTGTAACCATCCCTGGGAGCCAGACAGCTGGGAGTTATCCCAACACAGACCCCCTGGACCACTGGTGAGCCTCATCTCAGACAGCATCCTCTGCTCTTTCACTCTCTCTTAGGAAAGGACGTCAGTAGAAAACTCAAGCCATCGGGCCTGATTCCCTTCTTTTGCCCATGCAAACCCTGAATGGAGCACCAAGACATGGTGAACTCAGTGACACCAGACAGAAGGAGGCAGGAGAGGCTTTGACAGTAGCCTGTCAGCTATAAAATCACCCAAAGATAGGTGGTTGGCAGCAACCCAGAAAGTATTCTATAGCCATTTCTCTCTCTAGCTTTTTGCCTCTGTGCCCTCAGTTCTGATGCTCCCATGCTTCCACACAGACATGTGCCTCTGCAAAGGCAGTGAAACAAGGCTCAAGCCTGTCTCTAGGGCGCTAATCTGCTGCTTTGTACTCTCCGCCCATTTTACCACCGACAACAAGGCCCGTGGGTCAATGCATCATCCAGCGGACTACCCATGAGGTCAAAGGCCCTTCCCAGGAACCACAAACACTGACTAGGAACCCAGCGAGATATTTAATCAGATAGAAAAGGCCTAAGAACAGCCTGTGAGGTTTTGGTGTTAGAGGTGCCTCCCTGTACTCCTTTGCAATTAAACTTGATTATAGCCAACAGCTCGCATCGTAATTATCAGAAGCCCATTGCGAGGGCATGGCTCATTGGGAAGCTATTTATAACCTAAAGCTCTGTCTTTACAGAGAGGATATCAGCAGTCACCCAGACGTGGGTGGGGTAGCAGATTTCGGGCATCACTAGGGTGGTGTGATGGATGTCTGCAGAAGGGAAGCTGCCCTGCCGAAAATACCCTGATGGACAAAAAACTACGTTTGGTCCCTTCTGGCCCAGGGTTGGGACAAAACACAGTAACCCAAACGAGTGTGGTCAGCACTGACTCACTGTGAGACAAGCACCCAGTTCAGAAAAACCACAGTTGTTCCCTGCCAGCCACAACACGGGCTCACACCACTCTCCTCCCAAACAGAGAAGCAAGCTTCCTGTTTTGTTTTTAATTTTGGTCCTTTGTAAATTTACTTATGTGTTTGTGTGTATGTGCATGGGAATGGGGGGTGGGGATACGTGTGTGCAGACAAGGACAACTTGCAGAAATCCCTCCTCTCCTTCCTCTATCTGGGTCCCAGAGATTGGATTTACGTCATCAGCCTTGGTGCCAAATGCCTTTACCGGCTGAGCCATCTTGCTGGTTCTGATGTATTTATTTATTTATTTATTTTTTTATTGCCTGTTCACTCACTTGCCAGGTCTAGCTTCATCTTAAGTGCTTCACACACCTTAACATACAAGGGCAGGCTACCCTCCGTGTATTAACGGGGGCAGAAATAGTACAGCATCCTTCCACAGTTAGACCCCAGGGCAGAACAAAACTGGGGTTGATTTAAACCCAGACAGCCAAGTTCAGCAACCACAAGCGGCCGCTGCCTTACACCGGCTTCACCAGAGTCTATAGCAGAGTAGGTGTGGGAGAAAGAGTCCTACCACTATGCCCAAATGCAAACCCAGTGTGTCGTGTGATGTGCTGGAGTTCACACAACTGTCAATCAACACAATCATCAAGCTAATGGTACCAAAGAAATCATCAGGCTGGATGGTTATAAATTTCTCGGGGATCAGGAACTCATCTCGGTGTTAATTTTAGAAGCAATTCACAGTATTTCCCCCTGTTCCAAGCCCTACTCAGGCTTTGCCCAACCACAGATTAGATTAGAAGGTGTCAAGAAAACTCACTTGGCAGAAAGGGAAACCAAACTCCCAAAAAAGGTTACATGATTTGGTCAGTCATGGTGCTGAAAACTGTTGAGTTTCTGTCAAATTATAAACCAGCCATGTATCTATAGTTGATCATTGCTACTGAACTGAATGATTAACAAATGTCAAGTCCTGAATAACTCATTTCCAAGGTGTATGTGCATGTGTGTGTGTGTGTGTGTGTGTGTGTGTGTGTGCAAATGTGTGTCCATGCAGATATATGTGTATGTATCCTTGTGAGGGTCCTGAGGGCCTCTCTCTGGCAATCGTCACTCTAAGGCTAGCAGCATAGAACATCCCACATTCAGAACCCTGAGCACAGTGACTCCGAAAAGGGCCCTCATGGGTGTTCATGTGCACGTGTGTACGTGTGCAGGCCCGAGACTCCCCTCAGCTGTTATCTCTCATGTCTCTCATTGGCCAGGAACGCACCAATGAGAACGCACCAATGAGAACGCACCAATGAGAACGCACCACTTAAGCGAAGGTGGCTGAACAGCAATCAGCAGGGCTACCGTGTGTCTCGGCCTCAGTGGTGCCAGGATGGCAAGCGCTCATCACTGGGTCCTGCCTTTTTATAGGAAGGCTCCTAGGATTGTCCCCGTGCCTGCGAGCTGTGCACGCTCCCCACCGAGCTGCCACCATGGTGCTGTCACTCCCATGCCTTGCATTTAGTGACCTCTGCCTCTTACCAGTCCTAACTAAAGACATCAAAATGCACTTCTCTTCGAGTATTTCACTAGATGAAAAAAATTAGAGAGGAAAAAAAACCAAATTTCAGAACCATTATTCTAAGATTTTTCTTTTTCTTTTGATTTTTTTTTCCCTTTTTCTTTTTTCAGCGTCAGTCTTTCCCATGGGTAGTTTCTCAGACTTCTCTCTGAAAACTTTACATCTATTTAAAAATAGCTGCGGTCCTCCATCCTAAGCGAAGACGTTAAAATGCAGTTCAGATTAGGGCACAAGTAATTAAACCTATGAGGTGTACGCATATTTCTAGGCAAATATCTTTTTGCCTAACAATACAAAGACATGTTCCAAACGGAGACTGTTGGTCTGGCGCCGTACAAAACGGATTGTAAATTGGTTAACAGCCAGGACATTCAAGATCTGGGATCCACTCCACACGATCCTGTTCATTCAAACTCCTCCCCTTTTCTTACTTACACAGAAGCGTCTTAAAACATGTCTGACCTTCACCAGAATTCAAGTCTGGAAACATAAGACAATACATAGGAAGATCAAAACCTACTGATATCATCAAGGCACTAGAGCTAAGAATTCTCACACACAAGAATGCCAAGGACGGTACAATCCTCCTTCAATCATTTGCAGGTTATTTAACTTCATCCTGATGTAAATATTAATTTCATGAGCATGCCCTTTACTTTTCAGAGAGAATAACGTGCACCTGCCTATCTAAGTTATATTTGGTAACAGGGATTCGTGTTTTCGCAGGGTGACAGTTTCACAAGAAATCGCAACTCCCAAAGGGGGAAATAGTCTGAATTTGCCATCAGGTGATACACAGCTGCTGGAAAAAGAACCAAAAGGAATGTCTGACTCCCAGAGCACAGCTGTCACTTGGCAACTATGTGTGATGCGGCTCAAGTCACCGGGGATGAGAAAGGACTCAAGGGACAGGCTTAATACGGCTCTAGGAAAAGCAGGCTGCCTCTACGTCCTTCAGACCCGAGTTGGGATTTAAGAGGTGGCAGGAATCAAAAGACTTTATTCTGGCCTCCTCCTTTGCATGTGTTAAAAAATCAGTCACCTGAAGTTCTTAAACTGTTTCCTCTTTCTAAGGTCAGTGGTTATAGTCCCTGCGGCTTTGTATGAAGCCTTTGAATCCAGATTTGGACATATTTGGGTGACTTTGAACACGTTACTTATCTTGGTTTCTTTGACTACTAAATGGGTAGCCATTGGCCAGAACTCTTCTATGATTAAAATTTAATGACAACATATACTCAGTGATGGTGTGTTTTAAACACCAAAAATGCTTGCTTCGAAAACAGCCCTTGTTAGACTTCCCCCATTTGAGACTACTTCAAAGCAATTTTTGTTATTGTTGTTCATTTTGCTTTTTTTGTTTTGTTTTGTTTTTCAACAAACTAAGTATTCAGTTATTTTCAAGAGAAAGTAGGTCTATTGCCCCTCATTAGATCCTCCATCTCCTCTGAGAGCCATTATTCAGGGGTGAGCTCTCTTTAGAATGCTGATTAGCTGCTTTATAGTTTTGAAGAATTCTTTGCCTGAATAGTTTCTTTAACTGATGTCACTATCTCTAAAAGAGAGTTTGGAGATGGAGGATGCTTTCCCACTTTCTTTATTAGACAGTTTTACACACACACACACACACACACACACCAAGTTACAATATTCCCTACTCCAAGAATATGGTACAGAAAGTCTAAAGTTACCATAGAAATGATGAACGTCTCGATACTCAGCATCCACTAACTATAACCCACTACAGGGACTGGAGAGGTGACCCAGCAGTTAAGAGCTCATACTGCTTTTGCAGAGGACCTGAGCTCAATTCCAAGCATCCGCATCTGATAGTTCACAATGTCCTTGTTGGAGACCAGCCTAGTCTTCATATCGATTTCAGGCCAGTAAGGGATAGAAAGTGAGACCATGCCTCAAATAATAATAATAGGATAAGAAGAAGGGGGAGGAGAAGGAGAAGAAATCTTTTAGCTTTTTAAAGGTTTTGTGCTTTAGATCGGTGTGTGTCATTCACAATACCCACAGAGGTTAGGCAATAGTAAGGGACCAGAGATAAGAGGGGATCTTCCAAAGAAAGGGAAGTAGAATATAGTGTTATAAATGGGAATCTAGAACATCAGAATTAAGGGGTGTGATGGAAGGACAGGGTAGTAGAGGAAATATGTGGAGGGATAACAATGCTAAAGATTTTTTTAAAGCCATATGAAAATATACTATTATTGAAACTTCCTAAAATGCATACATGTATAGAATGAATTTCAATGGAGTCACCATATAATGGGGGGGCGGGGCAATGCCCCAATTAACATCATATGTTACCAAATAAAATCTCTAGGACAAGAAATGGGGATACACCTTTTTTGCATCAATGGCCAAGGTACTCCCTCCCATAGACCCCCAAACATGACAGGCTATCGACAGCGCTATTCCCACTGATGAAGACACACATGCTCGTGGCACAGAACATGGAGAAAGCTGGCGCTCATCTGGAAGTTCCACCCCCGATGGGCTAGCATTCAAAATGCTGGAAGGTATTAGAAACACTCCCAGAAGAAAAAAGTACCTAGCAAGCTATGAACCCTAAAAGCTGTAGCACTACGTGCCTGCAAGATATACCCATAATACAATAGTGGCACAATCCTGAAGGAGTAACCAATGACTTTCTTATTAGATCTGATGCACTCTCCATGAGATGGAACCCATCCCTAGTATTGTTAATGAAGCCAATAACCTAAGACTAGATATTCCATGGACCCTAGGGACGAACCTAGTACTATTATTCTGCTAAATGAGCCTAACAGTAAGATGGCTCTGATGACATATTACTTACTATACCTGTAGAGCGCATCACTCAGCCCTTCGCAGAGAAGCTTCTTGCAGTATACTGTAATTAACACAGAGACCCACAACTGAGTATCATGCAAAGAGTGAGAGACTTTGTAGTGTTCGACCCTAAATGGGAAGTCTTTACCACACCCCTCCCAACAGTGCTCAGGTTATAAGAGCCAGAAGTAGTGGACGATCTTAATGAAGCAGCATTATCCAGAAACAGTATAACAGATGCTCACAGAGACTGTGACAACATGCCCAAGCTTGAGCCAGGCAAAAAAAAAAATCTCAGTATGGAGGAGGAAAATGGGCATGAAGTCCCAACCCTAGTCAGAAAAAAAAAATTATTTGCAAATGGTAGCTGTTGGAAGAGGAAAATTCAGTTTCCTTTGATTTAGTAACACTTAGTATACATACTGCACTCCTGAGGAATAGTGGGCCAACCCAAACAATCTTCATGATTTTTAGTTGAGCTTTCCTTTTCTTTGTTTTGTTTAAAGAAAAAAAAAAGAACATAAAGTTATGTAGGGAGGGAAGAGAGGAAGACTGGAAGAAGCTAGAAATGGGGAAGAATGTGATAAAGTATGCCATATGAAATTCTCAAAGGATAAATAAAAGAATAAAAATATTCTTTAAGCCAGGCAGTGGAAGTACACACATATGTAATCCCAGCACTCAGGAGGCAGAGGCAGGTGGATCTCTGTGAGTTCAAGGCCCATCTGGTCTGCAGAATGAATTCCAGGACAGCTAGGACTATTACACAGAAAAATCCTTTCTCAAAAAAACAGATAGATAGACAGACAAACAGGCTGATAGATGATGGACAGATCTTTAAGATACGCCACTGTTGCACACTGTCTCTTACTAGCACACTACAGAATAAAACCTACATGCAGCAACGAATAATGCAAATGATTTCTGCTTCCTCTCTCTTGCTGGAAGACCTTCCTGTTTACACACTTTCTCTCTTGATGCTCTTCCATTCAACAAATTCGTCCTTTTCTGGGAGTATGACCTAGAAATTTTTATGACTGTGACACAGAGTTTCTAGGAACTCAGGAAATCATAAGTAAACTGAAAGGTTAAAAAAACCTTTGCTATTGACAATTCTGTTGGCTAATCCACTGAAGTGAATCCCTTCTGGGCATTGCAGGACATTTAGCAGCATTCACGGCCTAAACACTCAGCGGTCCTCCTCCACGCTGTGACAATCGAAAGTGACTTCCAACGTTTCCACGTGCTGTGGAATATTATTGTAACTGGGCCACGATGTGTTGCATTTGTTTGTGCTCCAGAATATTTCTTTAATTGTGTAAAGGTGTGTTATTTTTGTTTACGCTGCATTTGTTTAACAATATGAAGGATGTGTGTTTCATTATGTAAAGATGAGTTGCATTTGTTTCACCTTGCCTGCCTGAGCCACCTGATTGGTCTAATAAAGATCTGAACAGCAGTAGCTAGGCAAGAGAAAGGATTTCTGGGCTGCCAGGAAAAGAATTTTTTTAAAAAAAGGGGGGGGGAATCTGGGTTCAAAAAGGAGGGGAGAGGAGAAGAAGGAGACAAGGAAGCCAGGGGCCAGCCACAGAGTCACCCAGCCACCCAGCCACCCAGTCAGCTAGCCAGCACAGAGGAAACAGAAAAGTAAGATATATAGAAAGAATGAAAGAAAGGAAAAACTCACCAGGGCAAAACACAGGGAGAAAAAAAAGCAAAAACAAAAAACAAACAAACAAAAAAACAGGATAATTTAAGTTAAGTTAGAAAAGCTGGCTAGAAACAGGCCTAAGCTGAGACTGGGCATTTGTAACAAAGATTAAGAAGTCTCTGTGTCTTTACTTTGGAGCTGGGTGGTGTCCCTCCAAAAGAGAAAAAACAGCTACACATATGTCCCCAGGAGATGGACGAAGTCACACCCTGATTGAGAACCACTGGTTTGGAATGAGCTAAAACCTCTGTAGTTTCCCACGGGAACAGGGCTTCAGAACCAGCAATGCCTGGCTGTCACAAAATTGCCTGTGGTTTCCCAGAAGGACTAGGCAGCAGTGAAATCCCCTACCTGTGTTTTCTGGCAATGGGAAACTGAAAATACAGGATCCCAACACAAACTACTGTAGGAGCAAGAGACACAGCAGAATCTACTGACACCAGCTGCTACTGTCTCAGAAAGACCTCCTGGAGCAAACCTAGGCCCCTCATGGTGTGGTGTAGGAGGGTCTTCTTTCTATGTGTTGCTTTCATTGGTCAAATAAAGAAACTGCCTTGGCTTTTTGATAGGGCAGAATTTAGATAGGTGTTATAGACAGAACAGAATTCTGGGAGGAAGAAGGCAGTGTGGCAGACGCCATGGCTCTCCTCTTTGAGACAAATGCTAGTTAGACTCATGCCAGTAAGCCACAGCCAAGTGGTGATACAGATTAATGGAGATGGGTTAAACTAATATGTGAGAGTTAGCCAATAAGAGGCTAGAACTAATGGGCCAGGCAGTGTTTAAATTAATACAGTTTCTGTGTAATTATTTCGGTAAAGCTAACCAGGTGCTGGGAAGCGGCCCATAGCTCCTCATTACAACAATGGTGCCTCGCACTTTCTCCCTGAATGCTTCCCCTCTAATACCTACTCTTAAGTCCACTTTTCCTCCTCTTTACAAACCCTAATCTTTCTTCTTAAAATTATGCCCAAAAGGAACACAAAGTTTCAACACACTTGGAAAAACAGTCTTCAGAGCTGAACTAGAGGCATGTACTGACATGTACTCGGAGGTTGCGTGGGCTCGGAGATGAGTCTACCATCTGTGAGAGTGGCCATCTCGGAATTTCTGCGTAAGCAGTACTAATGATTCTTGAAAAGACATGTGGGTTTATAATCCACACGTCAGTTCAGACATCAGCCATTCTGATATAATACCTAGTTGAATCCTTTACATGGTTAGTCTTCTTAACCATTTTCTAAGCATACAATCAATAGTATCAAATATATTCAACATCATTGTGCAATCAATCTCCAGAACAGTTTCCCCTTGTAAAACTGAAAATCTCTGGCCATTAAACAACTAACTCCGCAGTTACCTCTCTTCTTAGCCCCTGGCAAAAACCGATTCTTGTATCTAGGAAGTAACTACTTTACACGTTGTATAAATGGGATCAGGCAGTTTTGGGCTTTGTGTGACTGGCTTATTTCTCTCACCATAAGGACTTAGACGCTGTCCCTGTGTGTTAGGT